GGAATTTCCAGATTTGATCTCCAAGCTTCAAACTCAAACTAAACAGTTCAAAACTCATCCTCTTGGGCCAAAATTCTGGAAAACATTTAGAAACTCACAAAATATCATGCTTTGAAGATTATTTCATGAAATCAAGGTCCAAAAGCATGCCAATTGTTCAAAAATTCAACTTAAACTTTATGAATGTTTCATGAACATAACATGCATGAATTTTATTGATCTTGAGCTTCTCAAAACATGATCAAATGCCATAAAACGACATTAAACTTGATAATTTCCCAACATCAAGGTGAATTCAAGACATGCATGAGGGAATTCTTGGAAATCATGCTCAATTTGTAAAGGAATAGACATGCATACATGGTATGGTCCTTTTACCATCTTATTTAACTCAAGTCTTGCTTAACTCAACATAATCTTCATGAATTCATGTTCTAAACATCATGAATTCATGTTCTAAACATCATAATTATATAATCTAAGTGTTGAATTCATATCTCAACCTCTCAAGTAAGATCTAGATGATGAGCACACTAAGATTCCAAGCTAATTCTTCCCAATTCCAATAATTCTTATTGATCTCAACTCTCTCTCTCTCGGTCCCTCATTCTCTCACACATTTTTGAGGTCAATGAGTAGGCAATGAGGGTGTAAAGTAAAATAAGGGGGTTTAAATAGCCCTAGATAGACATAATTAAAGTGGCTTAATTAAGATTGACTTAGGTTAATCACATTAACATTAATTATTCTAATTTAATCGTTCCAAATCGAATTTCAATTAAACCAACCATAAAATTCTATAAATTCCGCATAACATATAAATCAAATCAATTTCAGAATCAGATGTCGACAAGGCCTTCAATTTGCAAAATATAGCAGAATCTTAAATAGATATTCCTACAATAAACATATAGAAACACAAATAATGCAACACATATGGAATAAATCCAAAAATTGATCTTAGTGACTTATTAGGCACATGAAATCATGAATTTACGTCAATCATAGGTCGGGGGTTGTTACAGTCTTCACATCTTAAAAGAGTTTAATCCTCAAATGTAACAATCCTCACCACTGTTTACTGATAACACTACTGATTAGTGCTAATCTATGATTAAGCATGTTGATTGACTGCCTGACTGAATTACTAAACCGATTGATTGATTATGCTAGTTTGAATGCAATTCTATCTGTTGACTGTTAAATTATCTGTTTGTGTTTTATGTTTTAAACTCTAAATTGAAAGCCTTATCGGCGGCCAAATCTGAAATTGATTGATGTTTTGTGCTAATTAAGATTTATATGATTTTATGGTATATTTAATTGAAATGTGATTTAGTATGACTAAATTAGATTAAATAAAGCTAAATTGCATTAGGTTGATTATTCACCAAATTGCCACTTAGTGGGTTATGCTAGACCACTCATCTTCTCACCCTTACATTGTTTGAGCACCCTTTTCCTTAGCCACTTTGAGAGCTAAAACCGACTAGAGTGAGAGAGTGAGAGAAATTGAGTTCAACTTGGAGGTTTTGCTTGGAAATTATAGGAATTGAAGGATAATTTGCATAATTGAGCTCCCATATCTTGCATTCAAGACCTAAGGTAGGACATTTACCTTCTTGTTTGTGAATTCAAGTTAATTGTTGCATGGTTCATGGTAAATAGGAGCTTAAGATCATAAATTGGTTATAGATTGTTGAATAGAGGCTTAATCCATGCATGCATGTGCATATCTTGAAATTTAGAGTTGTTTTCATGGAAATTATTGCATGCATGTTCATATTTTTGGCCTTGATCCATGAATTCACCATGTTTTTGCAAGAATTGGCTCTTTGGAGCATGTTTTAGAAGCTTTGAATTCATTAGAACTCATGCATGTATGAGTTTTGCATCAATCTTCATGTTATTGGATTTTCGGTTGGAATTGTGTATTAATTGAGCTACCTTTGGGCCTTGATTTTACAAATTGAGCTTTGAATCATGTTATACTATGAATTTACAAGTGTTTTCTAGAAAATTGGCCCAAAAGGATCGAATTTGATGCATTGGAACTGAGTTTTGAGCTTGAGGTTCAAATATGGAAATTCCAGATTTTGGACTCAAGCTCGAGCGAGGAGTTCTACGCTCGAGCATAAGCCTTGTGTTCATACAGTCCGCTCGAGCGAGGAAAGTGGCGCTTGAGCGTGAAATGCGTATATCCAGTACTTTGCATGTGTTTACAGTCTGCTTGAGCGAGAGAGTTTACGCTCGAGCGAGGACTTGTGTCTCACGCTCGAACGTGTATTGAGCGCCCGTCGAGTGTGATTTTTGTGCATCCAGTACTTTTACTATAGCTTGCAGTCCGCTCGAGCGACGGAAGTTACGCTCAAGCGAAGCTCATTTGTCTGCATGTCCGCTCGAGCATAGAAAGCCACGCTCGAGCGAGACCCCTGTTTTCTGAGAATTCTAAAAAGTGTTTTAAAGTGCATCTTTGCATCCTCATTCCATCATAGGCATTCCTAGGCCTAGTTTAAGGCATCTTAATGAGGATATTGATGTAGAACCACACCGAGGCAAATTAGGGATTAAGTTATTATTTCCCAACTGTGTAGCTTAGTGTGTGTTCGTTCTGTAATTGTATAGGGTTGGCATCCGAGGACGCGTACTAGCTTATCTGTAGCCCAGAACTCTGTAACAATGTTGTAAAAATATGTTCAATAATGATTATCTTTTGAACAATTGAACTGTACTGTTTCTGAAATGATACTGTTACTGAATGAATGATGTCCTATTTGTGAACTGTATTCGTGGCATCCATAGCAACACACTGTTACTGTACTGTACTGCTACTGTCACAGAGATCTCTGTCAGTTTCCATGTTGGAACCACTACTGTTTACTGATATGATGGCCATCAACTGACTGTTCGGTCTGATAAGACCTACTGTACTGTTTTGCTATTGGATGTACCACATATGACTATTCTAGTTTCTGAATAACTGTTATGGCATGAGATATGAGCCACAAACTGAATGACTGATATACTGATTAATGACTGTTTTCAATACTGAAAGGACATTCATTCTTAACCTCTTTACGCATATGTTATTCACTGGGCTTTAGCTCACTGCTCATATATATATGTAGGTGTATAGGCACCGGACCGTTGCTAGAAGTGTTAGGGTAAACTCCAATTTTGTCGAGCCAACCACCGTGTCTCACTGAGAGGTTCCAAGTCCTTCAAGCTAGGGTTTTTGGGGCGTTTTAGTTTTCTCCCTTTTTGTATCTGTTTTGTAATTACTGTATAGATTGAATGATACCGTACTGTACTGTCATAGTAGGGATTTGGTCCCTAACCTGATTATCTGTATATGATGTATGTACATACTATTTTGTTTTGAATGTGAATATGTTTTAAAAAGTCTTTTTGGCATACAGACTGTCACAGCTCATTGGACATCTTTTATTACTATTTTGGCTTCCGCCAGCCCCTGTACTTTGTACTACTGTCTTACTGTTAAGCAGGCCTTCGATAATCTCGGATTACTGGCCGGTTACGGTGCTAAACCCATAGGGGCGGGTTTGGGTCGTGACATCCAAACTCAAATTACCTTCATTTTGGAGGAGTATCGAGTCCAAAGGGAACAGTTCAGGATATCTTTTCGTCATATCTTCTTCTGGTTCCCATGTAGCATAAGTTCCTCATTGATTATGCCAATCAACCTTCACTAACAGAATTTCCTTGTTTCTCAATCTTTTGATTTGGCGGTTCACAATCTGTATAGGTCTTTCTTCGTAAGTATAATCATCCTTCAAAAGCACATGGGTCGGCTCTATAACATGGAGCGGGTCTCGTAAGTAATCTCGAAGCATTGAAACATGAAAAACATTGTGCATATGCTCCATTATCGGAGATAAGGCTACTTGATACGTTACCGGGTTGATCTTTTCAAGAATCTCATATGGCCCAACACACCTTGGCGCCAGCTTGCCCTTAACACCAAACCGTTTTTGTCTTTTCATAGGGGTCACTTTTATAAACACATGGTCCCCGACTTCATATTTTCTGTCTCTTCTTCGAACATCTGCATAGCTCTTCTGACGGCTTTGTGCAGTTCTCAACCTTTGTTGAATTAATTTCACATTTTCAGTTGTTTCTTATACAAGTTCCGGTCCCAACAAAGGTCTATCACCTACCTCAGCCCAACATATCGGAGATCGGCATTTTCTTCCATACAGAGCTTCATAAGGAGCCATTCCAATGCTTGAATGGTAGTTGTTGTTGTACACAAACTCGCAATTTCCTTGGAAATCTAATACACACATTCTGAGCATATCTTCCAAAGTTTGATTGGTCCGTTCAGTTTGACCATCTGTCTGTGGGTGATAAGTACTACTCAACCTCAGTTCTATCCCCAAAGCTTATTGTAAACTTTGCTAGAATCTTGATGTGAACTTCGAATCTCTATCAGATATAATAGATACTGGTACACCATGTAATCTCACAATTTCATTCACATACATGTTAGCTAACTTATCCGTAATATAAATAGTTTTGCCAGGAAGAAAATGAGTAGATTTAGTCAAACGATCAACTATAACCCATATAGAATCCATACCTCGAGGAGAGCGAGGCAATCCTATAATGAAGTCCATGGTAATGTGCTCCCATTTCCATTCCAGTATTGGAAGCGGTTGTAATAAACCAGCGGGTCGTTGATGTTCGGCTTTAACTTGTTGGCAATGTAAACATCTAGTCACAAAATCTGCAATGTACTTTTTTATTCCAAGCCACCAAAAATTCTGTCTCAAATCATGATGCATGTTTGTGTTCCCCGAATGCATGGCAAATTTGGTGTTATGAGCTTCAATCATAATACACTTTATTAAATCGGAAGAATCTAGTACACAAAGTCTATTCTAAAATTTCAGCACATTATTCTCAAAAACATACCCCGACCTCGACTTTGAGTCAAATTCTTCCACAATCTTTTTCAAGTACTCATCGTCATGTTACTTCTATTTGATTTCTTTAACGATTGCAGGTTGAGTGGAAATGGCAACTAAAATCCCACCTTCCTCTCGCAAAACAATTTCAATCTCATTCTTTTCTAGGTCATCTAGCAATTCTTTTTGACTGGAAATCAAACATGACAAATTTCCAATCGACTTTCGGCTCAAGGCGTCAGCTACAGTATTAGCTTTTCCTGGATGATACAAAATTTACAAATCATAGTCTTTGGTCAATTCCAGCCATCTCCTCTGTCTCATGTTCAATTCTTTTTGAGTGAAGAAATATTTGAGGCTTTTATGGTCAGTATATACTTCGCAAGTAACACCATATAGATAATGTCGCCAAATTTTTAAAGCAAAAATGATAGCTGCCAATTTGAGGTCATGAGTCGGGTAATTCTTTTCATGTGGACGGAGTTGCCGAGAGGCATAAGAATTTACTTTCCCATTTTGCATTAACACACACCCCAAACCTTTGTAGGAAGCATCACTGTAAATTTAAAACCCATCAGTACCATTGGACAAAGTCAAAATCGGTACAGTTATTAGTCTGGTCTTCAACTTATGAGAGGCTGACTCTCACTGTTTATTCCAATCAAATGATACATTTTTCTGAGTTAACTGGGTCAATGACATGGCAAGTTTTGCAAAGTCTTTCATGAATCTTCTGTAGTAACCTGCGAGTCCCAAAAAACTTCTAACTTCTATCACATTTGTCAGTTTAGGCCAGTCCACAATTGCTTCAATTTTCTGTGAGATACCATCCTTGTTGATTACGTGACCCAAAAATGTTACACTGTCAAGCCATAATTCACATTTGGACAATTTCGCATATAGCTTCTTTTCTCTTTGAATCTGTAACACAGTTCTTAAGTGATTATCATGTTTTTTCTATTTTTGGAGTAAATCAAAATATCATCAATAAATACAACAACAAATTCATCCAAAAATGATTTAAATACCCTGTTCATGAGGTCCATAAAGGCAGTAGGTGCATTAGTCACCCCAAACAACATTGCTAAAAATTCATAATGTCCGTATCTAGTTCTGAATGCAATTTTCTCTCTGTCTTCTCCCTTAACTTTTAACTGGTGATACTCGGATCTAAGGTCAATCTTTGAAAACACTTGGGCTCCATAAAGTTAGGTCAAACAAGTCATCTATTCGCGGTAAAGGGTATTTGTTCTTGATAGTTACTTTGTTCAATTCCCGATAGTCTATACATAACCTCAAAGATCCATCTTTCTTTTTGACAAATAGAACTGGAGCACCCTAAGGTGAAGTGCTCGGACGAATGAATTTCTTGTTTAGTAGTTCCTGAAGTTGAGTTTTTAATTCTTTCAATTCTGAAGTTGACATTCTATAGGGGGTCTTGGAAATAAGTTGTGTTCCCGGAGTCACTTCAATAGTGAATTTAATTTCTTTATCAACTAAGTCTCCAGGCAAGTCATTCGGAAACACATCGGGAAATTCACAAGCAACATGAATAGTTTCCACATTAGTACTATCAGATGATGCAGTCAGTATACAACACAAGTAGCCCCTACATCCCTTCCTAAGCAATTTAACAGCTTTTATGGCTGAAATCAAGTATGGGGGAGGAACTACCCCATTTCCAGTAAAAATAAATTCAGGCATACTCAGTGGTCTAAACACAACAAATTTACTTGCATAGTCAATTGTAGCACAGTATTTAGTCAATCAGTCTATACCCAGAATACAATCAAAATTATCAATGTTCAAGGGCAACAAGTCAACATACAATGTCAGATCACCAATCATAATATCACATGCTGGATAAACATAAGCACATATCATAGAACTCCCAGACGGTGTAGATACAAACAATACATATGTCATAAGTTTTAGTGGTCTAGTTAATTTCCGAGAGAAAGCATGCGATATAAAGGAATGTGTAGAACCAGAATCTATCAGTACACATGCATTTTGAGAACATACATGGAGTATACCTGACACCATAGTTTCAGTGTTTTGTACGTCACCAGGCACTAAGGCAAACACTCGACCTTGTCTCAGAGGTTCTTTCCCAGTATTAGTCTTTGTATTTGTTTTGACTGTAGAAGTGGACCCAACTGAACTCACCATAGGACGGCTGGCATTCTCAGACCCAAGTGGGCAATCTTTCACTTCATGACCTATCTTGCCACATCGAAAACAAGCACCGGATGCTCGGTAGCATACACCTCTATGCCTTTTTCTACAATCAGGACAAATCAGAATAGACCCACTACTCTGACTCGAGCTGCTTGTAGACCTTGTATTCTGCTTTTTACGTACATGAGAACGGCCTTTTTTGAAACCATACCCAGACCTTTTTCCTCTCCAATCAGTTGTTGTTGTTGCTGGGGCCTTACTTTGTCTCTTGGCGGCTAGGGTGGCTTCCGCCATTAAGGATCTGTCAAGAACTTGCACATATGTTGGCAACTTTAGTACACCAACTCGATCAAATATGTCTAAGTCCAATCCTCCCTCAAATTTGCGGGCTTTCTTGTAGTCTGTGTCTACCATATAAGGAGCAAATTTGGCTAATTCAGTGAACTTTGCCTTGTACTTGGCTACAGACATTCTGCCTTGCTTAAGTTCTTGGAATTCGGACACTTTTCGGTCCCGAAAGCATTGAGGAAAATATTTTTCATAAAAGATCTCATTATATCGAGCCCACGTCATATTTCCATTGGTATTCCGAATCAGTAGCCACCATCTCTGAGCTTCGTCTTTGAGAGTATAGGTGGCCAATAAAACCTTCTAAGTCTCGATACAGGGAAATACCTCAAACAGTTTTTCCATCTCAAGCAACCATGTCTCTGCTTTCAACGGTTCAATTCCACCAAAGAATGTTGGTGGTTTCATCATCATGAATTTCTGTGTCAGGTTAGTAATATCATTATTATCTGATTCGGCTGGTACCGGCAGAGGCGGAGGGGGCAAATGTTGTTGTCTTTGTTGTTGCATCATAGCTTTAGTCAATGCCGCAAGCATCTGTTCCATTCGGCTCATGCGAGCCTCTGAAGATTCAGTTAGATCATTTCCCTTTGCATTCTCCATATTGCTATAGAGACACTTAATAATAATAAACATAGGAATAATCTCATTCATTTCTTTCAATTCAATTACTCAGACTTACATTTAGTTTTCATATCGATTTGGATTACCACACACTCACACATGCAGATGAAATGCCCCTACTTCTTACTAGGACATCCTAAGCTCATATGGACTTGTGTGTGCGGTAGAACACGTGCTCTGATACCACTCTGTCACGACACAAACCTGCCTTTATGGGTTTAGCACCGTAACCGGCCAGTAATCCTTGGATTACAAAAGGCCTTTTAACAGAATATCATATAGTTAGGGGCTACGGAAGCAAATATACAAAATATACGAGGTCCAATGAGCTGTGATGACATACATGGAACATATAGACAAATGATTTAAAACTTTTAAAAACTTGCGAGCGAAGTCAAAAGATATAGTATTTACACATCACTCCATGAACATATAAATAGAAATCTTGCCCGCACTTAAAAGGAACAAATTCTGGTACATCACAAAAACAACCACTAAACTTGTTTCCATTCGGAACCTTCTCGGGAGGCACAAAGGCTGGTTTCGTAACCGGCCAGTAATCCTTGGATTACAAAAGGCCTTTTAACAGAATATCATATAGTCAGGGGCTATGGAAGCAAATATACAAAATATACGAGGTCCAATGAGCTGTGATGGCATACATGGAACATATAGACAAATGATTTAAAACTTTTAAAAACTTGCGAGCGAAGTCAAAAGATATAGTATTTACACATCACTCCATGAACATATAAATAGAAATCTTGCCCGCACTTAAAAGGAACAAAGTCTGGTACATCACAAAAACAACCACTAAACTTGTTTCCATCCGGAACCTTCTCGGGAGGCACAAAGGCTGGTTGATAAAAACTGAAACATAGGCTGTCAACTTTGGGCCTAGTCACGTGCCTACTCACCTACATATATAATATAAATAGTGAGCTGGAGCCCAGTGAATAATAACGGAGTAAAGGGTTTTAATGAATGATGTCCATACAGATTAAAAAATCATAATTCAGATTAATATTCATATTCTTGCTCGGATTATATGCAGAAATTAGAATTCATGCTTAATCATACGTGGTACATCCACTAGCACTAACAGAATAGATGCAGAACATATGGTGGTTATGAATAACCAGTTCCATATAGGAATCCCTGGATCCGGGGAACAGAGAATAGATATGCTGAGCCCCATGATGGAGCCTCCAGTACAGGTAACATAGTGCAGACATATTAAATTCCATGATGGAACCTTCGATACCGGGTAACAACTAACAGATATCACATGATGCTAAGGATGCCACGAATACATTATTATAAATTGGACAATCATTCATTGTACATAACATATCATTTCAGAAAACAGATCTTAGTTCATTATACAAAAAATAAATAAAGTTGAACATAACTTTACTAAGTTATTACTCACAGTTAACAGACGGCTCCATGTAGACGATTAGAGTAGGTAATTCATTTAACTCGTGGTGCGTAACCTACAGAATATGACAGATACATATATTGAAACCCACGTTCGAATTGTACATAACTTATTTCACTTGTTCTTAGTGTGTTTCTACCCTTATGCTTATTATGGTGTCTTAACCATGGCCTAGGAATGCCCAGGCTGAAATGAGGATGCAAAAATTGCACTAGAAAATATTTTCCAAAACTTGTTGAAAACAGGGTCCACGCTCGAGCGGACATGCAAAAAGTGAGGGTTCGCTCGAGCGTGACTTCCTTAACTCGAGCAGATTGTAAACTCTGAAAAAGTACTGGTCACTTATTTTTCACGCTCGACGGATGCTTAATCTCTGCTCGAGAGTGAGACTCAGGCCCTTTCTTGAGCGTGGCTTCTGTCGCTCGAGCGTACTGCAAAACATGTGAACTTTTGGATACATGCATTTCACACTCGAGCGGGTATCATGTCGCTCGAGCAGAAGTGCACGCATTCAGAGTGCTTCGCTCGAGCGTGAACTCCTACGCTCGAGGCGTAGATTCAAATTATGGAATTTCTAGATTTGATCTCCAAGCTTCAAACTCAAACTAAACACTTCAAAACTCATCCTCTTGGGCCAAAATTCTGGAAAACATTTAGAAACTCACAAAACATCATGCTTTGAAGGTCATTTCATGAAATCAAGGTCCAAAAGCATGCAATTGTTCAAAAATTCAACTTAAACTTTATGAATGTTTCATGAACATAACATGCATGAATTTTGTTGATCTTGAGCTTCTCAAAACATGATCAAATGCCATAAAATGACATTAAAGTTGATAATTTCCCAACATCAAGGTGAATTCAAGATATGCATGAGGGAATTCTTGGAAATCATGCTCAATTTGTAAAGGAATAGACATGCATACATGGTATGGTCCTTCTACCATCTTATTTAACTCAAGTCTTGCTTAACTCAACATAATCTTCATGAATTCATGTTCTAAACATCATAATTATATAATCTAATTGTTGAATTCATACCTCAACCTCTCAAGTAAGATCTAGATGATGAGCACACTAAGATTCCAAGCTAATTCTTCTCAATTCCAATAATTCTTATTGATCTCAACTCTCTCTCTCTCTCTCTCTCTCGGTCCCTCATTCTCTCACACGTTTTTGAGCTCAAAGAGTAGGGAATGAGGCTGTAAAGTAAAATAAGGGGGTCTAAATAGCCTTAAGTAGGCATAATTAAAGTGGCTTAATTACGATTGACTGAGGTTAATCACATTAACATTAATTATTCTAATTTAATCGTTCCAAATCGAATTTCAATTAAACCAACTATAAAATTCTATAAATTGCACATAACACATAAATCAAATCAATTTCAGAATCAGATGCCGACAAGGCCTTCAATTCACAAAATTTAGCAGAATCTCAAACAGATATTCCTACAATAAATAGATAGAAACACAAATAATGCAACACATATGGAATAAATCCAAAATTTGATCTTAGTGACTTATTAGGCATATGAAATCATGAATTAACGTCAATCTAGTGACTTTTTTTTTTATGTTTATAGATTTTTTTTTTATAAGCACTGAAGATGAAATTAAAGTGCAGAAAAAAAAGCCTAATGGCAAAATGAAAAAAATAATGAGAAGAAAATAAAAGAAATTAATTTTAATAGCAAAATGAAAAAAAAAACATAATGAGAAAAAAATAAAAGAAACTAAGTTTAATGGGATGTCAGTGTTGTTGGAAGGGTAAGGCTAAAGCTAAAAAAAATACTATGAGGGTTTAACCCAAAAAAAATCAATGTATGCAAAGTTAAATTAAGCTCAAGATGCAGAACAAAAATACACAGTTGAGAATAACAAACTATTAAGGATAATAAATATATGAAGGATTTGAGAGCATTCAACTGATATAAATATTTCCATATTAATGTAGCAATACACATATATCATTTTAACAAAAATTGAATTTTCACAGTCACAACAAAACCTTTTAAGTAGAAATCGACATTCCAAGCTCGCCATGAATAAAATTAAAGCGATCCTCGCTTAGGAGTTTTGTGAAAATATCCGCCAATTGCTTGTCGGTGTTTATAAATTCAAGTACAATATCCAATTTTTCAACTTGATCTCTTAAAAATTGATGTCGAATTTCAATATGTTTTGTTCGTGAGTGTTGAACCGGATTTTTACTTAAATTGATGGCACTAGTATTATCACATTTAATAGGGATATGAGCATAATATAAATCAAAGTCCTCCAATTGTTGTTTCATCCATAGTACTTGGGCACAACAACTTCGGGAAGCTATATATTCAACTTTAGTCGTTGATAAAGTAACAGAATATTGCTTTTTTGCTAAACCAAGATACTAATGAGTTACCAAGGAATTGACAAGTGCCACTGATACTTTTTCTATGAAGTTTGCATCCGGCAAAGTCGGCATCCGAGTAACTGATTAAATCAAATGCAACACCTCTAGGATAAAATAGTCCCAAATTTTGAGTGCCAACAAGATATCTAAAAATTCTTTTAACAACACTAAGATGTGATTCTTTAGGATTTGATTGATATCTAGCACACATATAAACACTAAACATAATATCGGGGTCTACTTGCAGTTAAATGAAGAAGTGAGCCCATCATACCTCGATATTCTATTTGATCAATGGACTTGCCTTTTTCATCCTTGTCTAGCTTAATGGATGTGCTCATAGGTGTTCCAACTATCTTTGAGTCATACATACCAAACTTTTTGAGTAGTTCTTTTGTGCACTTAGCTTGGTTGATAAAAATTCCTTCCTTACATTGTTTGATTTGAAGTCCAAGAAAATAATTTAGTTCCCCCATCATGCTCATCTCAAACTCACCTTGCATACACTTGGCAAATTCTTTACATAAGGTTTCATTAGTAGCACCAAATATAATGTCATCCACATATATTTGTACAATAAGTAAGTCATTATTTTTAGTTTGAACAAAAAGTGTTGTGTCAATCGTTCCTCTAGTGAAATTATTTTCAATCAAAAATTTACTTA